ATATTTTCAGATTGAGTGCTCGCCGCAAATCAACCAAAAGAAATTGATAAAGTTTTGTCAAGATCGTGAAATTATTGTTACTGCATACTGTCCATTGGGACGACCAATTCCGGCCGACAAGAAGCCCGGATTTTTGTACGACGCTAAACTTGGCGACATTGCCAAAAAGTATAACAAAACCATTCCTCAAATCGTTTTTCGCTTTCTGGTATGTCAACACAGAATGTGTAAATAATTTTTGTTTGTTAATACCTTTGATATTATAAATTGTATTTATAGCTTGATATTGGAGCAGTTCCAATCCCCAAATCAGTTACTCCAAGCCGAATTGAAGAAAATATTAGCGTTTTCGATTTCAAATTAACCAGCGATGAAATTAAATACATCGATACATTTAATACCGGCGAACGAGTGCTGGAATTCACCGAAGCGCGCAATGACAAAAACTTTCCATTTGGCATTGAATTCTAAAATATGAAATTGTTTTCTGTCTCGTTTTTAGACCAACCATCTAGTCGTTTTATCAAGTTAATTACAATTATCACAATGTATTTAAAGTGCAATGTTGAATATAAAATAAATTAAAAGAAAACAAAATGGAATGAAAAGATTATTTCTGATATTAAATGTATTTAAAAATAAAAACGACCTTGAGACGTTCAAATTGAGCGACGTTTTTCATCGAATTTTACAATTTATATTTCACAAAATATGCAAAGTAGAATTTATTTTTTAAAACAGTGATATCTCCGATGAAGAAGAATGAAGCACAGCTGGAATATTTTCAATGTATTTTGATTATGACGTAATATGTGCTAGGGGCAGAGCAATACTAGAATAATTATTTTTGTTTAAAGTAATTCTATGTTGTGAGTATTAATCCATATTAATCCGCAGTAATACACACTTGTGTAAATTCTAACAGTATATTGCGGATTGAAACAATTTATTCGATATTTATTAAATTAAATTCGATATTTTCCATTTTTTAACAATAAAATGTCTCATCCGGAAAATACGTCGTTCGCTTTATGCCTAGCAAATGTCATACAAAACGTACGCATGAAACGTCATTGCACTGCTGTTAGAATTTACGTAAGTGTGTATTACTATGGATTAATATGGAATACTACTCACAACATAGAATTACTTTAAACAAAAATTATTATTCTAGTACTGATCTGCCCCTAGAATATGTGTTATATATTTTATTATCTTGAATACTTACTTGGGAATGTGTGCGATGCTGTCAGAACGTAGCTGGGACCGTATTGTTCCAAACGAACTAGTGAAGCAACACTGAAATGTTTTATATGTATTTTGACTGTGATGTTCATTTCTACTTAATACGGACCGGACCATTGATTTATTACTAATGAAATTTCATTGAGACGTAAAACGAATCAAATTTTCATTCGATGCGTCAAAAGTGTCATAGCCACGTTTCATCAAACAGCAGTGTTTTAAGTGTTACATTTATTTTCAATTTTTATTTTTTCAAAAATGGCTAAAGCACCCAGCATTTCATTGAACAATGGCTTGAAAATGCCAAGTTTTGGTTTGGGAACTTATAAGGCAAGATTTTCATTTGATTGAATGTAAATTTGTTGAAATCAAGATTGAAATTGTTATGAAATACGATTAAAAGTGCTTGAAGACATGAAAAAAATTCATGAAAATTATGAAAAGTTATCATTTTCGTACTTTTTCAGTCTATTGGTGAGGCTGATAGTGCTATAAAACATGCCATTGATGTTGGCTATCGTCATTTTGATACCGCTCGTATCTACGTTAATGAAGAAGAAGTTGGAAAGGCCATTCAAGGGAAAATTAAAGAGGGTGTTGTGAAACGTGAAGAAATTTTCATTGTTACCAAGCTATGGAATACCGATCATGAGCCGGAAAAGGTTGAAAAAGCATGTCGACAAAGTTGTGAAAAACTTGGCCTGGGATATATTGATTTGTATTTAATGCATTGGCCAGTTGCGTTCAAAGAACGAACACCTTTTGAATATGGGCCACGGACTCCCGACGGCCAATACGATCACGCGTAATTTACGAAAAATAAGCATTTTTCACTACAATAATAAGCACTTTAATTTTGACTCTCAAACAGGGATGTTGATTATCTAGACACATGGAAGGCAATGGAGAAACTTGTCGACCTGGGACTCGTTAAAAGTATTGGAATAAGTAATTTTAATAGCCAACAAATTGATCGATTGTTGGATAATTGTCGCATCAAACCTGTAAACAATCAGGTAAATACGGCGATTCTCGCTTTTTCGTAATTTGTATCCAAAATTAAAATTAAATATCTGTTCAATTACTTTTTTTTTCAACTAATGTACTCAGATTGAATGCTCACCACAATTCAACCAAAAAAAATTGATAAAGTATTGTCAAGATCGTGATATCACTGTAACTGCATTTTGCCCATTAGGAAAACAAAATCCAGCTGAAAATAAGCCCGCTTTTTTGTACGATGCTAAACTTGGTGACGTTGCCAAAAAATATAACAAAACTGTTCCACAAATCGTTTTTCGTTATCTGGTATGACAACACCGAATGTATATTGTGCGTTTATCAATTTTAAAAGTAATGAAAATTGTATTTATAGCTTGAAATTGGAACGGTTCCAATCCCCAAATCAGTTACTCCAAGCCGAATCGAAGAAAATATTAGCGTTTTCGATTTCAAATTGACCGACGATGAAATAAAATACATCGATACATTGAATACGTGCGAACGAGTGGTGCCATTCATCGAGTCTCGCAATGACAAACACTTTCCATTCGGAATTGAATTCTAATGTGTTTTTATCAGCTTATTCATTTTCAAGAACAACACTCTTGTCTAATTACCGAGTCAATTACAATCATCGCATTGGCTTCAAAATGCTATCAAGAATTTGCTGAACCGTAAAACACATAAAATATAATGAAAGTAAATAAATAAAATAATGAGCAGAATAAAAAAAATGCATATAAAAAAGAAATTAATCGATTTAAAGCGGCGTTTTTTCTTGAAATAAATCATGTCATCACAAAATCACGTCTTCTGAACAAAAGATGAACCTTGAATGTTGATTGATGTGGGTGTTTTTTTTTATTTTCTCAAAGCGAATTGAAAATTGTTTTGAAATTTATTTTGAAAAACAAAAACTTATGTATAATAAAATTAATTTTAGTAATCTGAAAAATAACCGTCTCTTTCATAAAACACTTTAAAATGTTGAAGTGTCGTTTCGCCGCTTCATTTGCATGATTGTGTCGGCACTGTGGCTCGATTATTCAAAACTCTTCCACGTGCGCACTGTTGACACACAAATAAAAAATTATATTGCACAAAGGTGTAACAAATCAAAATAAATAAAAACTGCACCAACATATAATATGTATGCATCTCTGTTGGCCAGAACTGTCGCGTTGTGTGGAAAACATTGCAATAGCATATATGATAATTAGAGTCGAATTTGAGCGGAATAATTGATAGAACCAACCGGAATAAAAGAAGAAAAAAAGTAATAATCTTTATTTAGTATAAAGTAGTAATTATTGGTTAAATTGCCCACGTTTAAGTTACTTAAATATTGACATAGTGCTCAATCAAAATACACTCGTACACACACACATATCGAGCGTAGGCTCACTGAAAATAGCAACAAACAAAAAAGCTGTAGAACAAGTTATTAAATGTGCACAGTGTTTCTTGAGCTCACGCTTGAAATACATCACATGAAAATTGAAAATGGGCAACATACGATATCAAGGTGAAAAGAGACGGAAAGTCAAATCGCATGTCACCGCTTAACTGTACACCGTGCAATGCAGTTAAATTGCATAAATTACAATGGCACTATGTAATCTGTCTCTTCGAACATTTGCCCATTATGAAGTAAATGCTTTGCTTTTAATGCATCGACAATTTGGTTGTTGTTGGTTGTTGTGTGCAGTAACTCTATTGTATGACAATCATAATAATAAACTATGGCTATTAGCTCATTCGCTCAGATGATCGCATCAACATGCATAAATGAACACATTTTGGTCAGCTGTTTGAAACACACATACGACACCCAAACACACATATGATTCTTTGCAACCAAATCCAAATAGCTATTTCAAGCGTAAAAGTGCAGCCCGAAGACATATATCGTGCTAAAAATTCTGATAGTAAAAGTGTGGCTTTCAAAAAATTGAATGTATAAATAGAGTTCCAAGAAAAGTGTTAAAGTTCACATGATATCGTGCATAAATTATAGTGGAGTTTATGATGTGGTCTGAGTAATTTTGAACTCTCAAATGGAACGAATCGAAAGACCATTTTATGATGAATAAAAAAGAATGCAACTGAAAGGTCTCTCCATTAACGAGCTCATCTCGAAGCAATCTACATATTGACGGGATTATGCACGCGATAAAAATGTGTTTATTTTTTTCTAGATTTACTATTAACCCTTTTATGGTGCAATAGGTCTTTTTAGGTAAATTTATATGCGCTTCTTGAGATGAATTTTGATTGAGATGTAATTTGTAAGTAAATTTCGTTTTCTTCACTCTTCGCTCTCTCAAAATAAGTATTATTATACAAGTGTAATCTGTGTCCTCATTAAACAAAAAATATGTTTGTTTCGTTTTAGGTTAAACATCGGCAGCAAAAAATAAAACAATGAAAGGAAGACAAACGAAATCAGTGATTCGAATTTCCCTTGGGGCATTGCTGACTTCTAATGGCATTGCTGTGGATTTTGGGTCATATATGTAATTTTATTTCAATGACATATAATAATCGGAAGTTCAACGTATCCACTGACATTTTCAACACTTGCAATTAGAATAAACAGCTTGAAATGGCTATGATTTAAATATATATTACTTATACATGTCAGTATGCGATCGATGATAAAATGACGACAAATTAAGTACATTTTTTTATATTCCAAGTGAGGCTGCGCTAAGTGCAAGAATTGTCGCTCATGGCTTTGCATCGATAACATTTGAAATATACGTTTTGTGTGATTTTGAAAGTAATGCCCGTTCTTGGAGCAAAAAAAAAATATCATGATAAATGGTAAATGATGTGGCTCTTGAATCAAGAATGTATTATTTATGATTCCCACATACAATAATGTATCTCTAATGCTCAATTCTTAATCTAGTTTGTAGATAAAACAGTCATGAATTATAATACCCGGCAACACTATAATTGCAACAACAGACACAAAAATACAATAAAACGAAGTCGGTGGTTTCAAAAATCACAGTCAAAACAAGTAACATTCAATTAAAAATGTCTTCATTTGAATAAATCCAAATCAAATTGACAAAACATAAATTTTGCAAAATAATCATTTACATAGCGAAATTACCAATCAAACAGCAACATAAATGTATTCCGAGAAACAAACGTAGAGACAAAAACGCGCACGCTACAAGAATATCCTTAACCTAATTAACAGTAAACGCGTTTGTTGTGTGCAAAAAAACTCAAAACAGCTTCATAGCCCATGATTTTCGCTTGTGTTTGACTGGTTTTCAGATGCCGTTTCATTTATAATCTATTAGCAATTTTACAATATATAATTTTTATTTATTAATGTGTTTTGAGACAGGCCGTTGTGCAGATTCGTTTTCTCTCTCTCTCTCTCTCTCTCTCTCTCTCTCTCTCTCTCTCTCTCTCTTCAATTCTCTGCATCGTTGTTCGTAAAAAAGCTATGCATCCCAATAATGTAGTGACAATGGCGAATGAGTTACACACAACCGAGCCACATTTATTGTTTAAACGAACATATTATTAAATTAGCACTATTCATTTTTCATCCATTGCTTTTGTCTAGTGGAATTGTCGAATGCTGGCGAATCCATAAAACGCCAACTGCAACACGTGTGTAAAAGAAATAAAATTGCAGCACTTGATGTAGTCGAGAGAAAAAAAAATTCATGCCAATCGCAGTCGATTGAGTTGATGGTTGGGAGAGGCCATTACCAATTTGTTTCAAGCTTACGACGAATATAAACAAAACCAATTGATGTCTATTGGTATTGCGCTGCTGCAAGTACTACTACAAATTCTCAGCGAACAAAATTTAATGTGAACGAACAACCGCAATGAACGAAACTAAAAAAAAATCAGCCCACAGTTTGAACAAGTCGAAGCATATTGCATGCATCGCATTAATTTGCTTTTTAGCAACACACGATAACAGTAACGAGTGCAAGCAAAAAAAATGCCCATTGAATTTGAAAAGCAGACAGCCAATTCAATTGCGTCATACAGCATAATCTCGATGATATTAATACTCGGAAACTAAGCATAATAATTTTATGATGTATTTAATTTTCAATGTAGATTTATTTAAATCATTTTTATGATTTTATAACGTGTTTTTTTTCTGTGATCACAACAAACAGATAGAAGAAATGGATGGAACAAAATTGGGCCAAGATTATGCATTTATTACCCACATTTAAATGGGTTTGATCGAAACTACATGGTCATTGCAAATATCGCAGTTGTATATTATGCAAATACGTGATCGTCGAGCGCATGCTTCTTTATTCTATAGATCGATTGTATATGTTCTGTTGCATTTTTTTTTGTCTTTCGATCTGTTCATGTGATGCACTTCACTTCCACTGCCAATTGAGCGAAGAGTACTTGTAAAATTCGTTTCAATGCAATCGTCACAGGCATACACACTATGCATGTATTCCAAACGAATCGAAGTGATTGGATTCATGTGAATATTAGACCGCTAAAGTAAGATTGACATCTTTTTTTTGTTCGTTCATTCGCTGAATGAATAAAATGCAAAAGTGCATCTAATCGTGGGTCAGGGGTAAAATGTACATTGCAGAAACCAATCGACCAACTTCAAAATGCAAATGAATTATAATGGCATTCTTTGACTATTCTCATTGACAATTACATCATGTTTTTAAATCTGTAACGACACTTAGTCTCCAAAAAAAATCGCTCGTAAATCTAACTGAACGAAAAAAAGAACATAGCTCGCGCGCCAAACACTATGTTGTTATTGCGCACATGTGTCTAACGTTCAAACAACATACATAGTTGTTTTGAGCTGCGACTCACGCGTCATTTCGTTTGTTTACGTTCTTTTGCGAGGCTTACAGCGTGTATGTTGGTTTTACTCTTTTTTTTTTCTCTTCACCATTATTGCTTTATTACCTGCATTCGCGTTGCATTTCGCGTCAGATGTTGTGGCGATTTCGTTAAGCATGCACACTGAAGACTTAAAGTAAGTAACGTGTTTTGTACTATTATCATCGCGTTAGCCTTGATCTAAAAATAACGTGGAAATAAATAAAATGTATTCAACTAATAACACACAACAATATTAGAAATATGTGTTCGATGTCTTTCAGTTACTCCAACGGATTCATTGTATTTCGTATCAGTGAATTTGCATCGCGCATGAAATGCAGGTAAGACTTGGCGCATTCAACAGCTGTTTGAATAATATTATGAATTCGATTTTCAGTTTCGTTTTGCAATTGTTTTGTTCGCATTTGCGCGTCCATTTTTATCTACTCATTTTGTTTGCAATGAAACTGTGATTAATCGACAAAAACACTACACACAATAATTATTCATTTCATCGTTTCAATGTTTTCTCTACTGTTCTGCATCGTTTGGCTCTTCATTTAAATTCAAACATTGTAATCGAATCACGACTTTTATTTTATAATCGAATTGTGTTTATTTTTCACTCGACACTGACCAAGATGTGCCAGTGAAATTGTATTACTCTCAATATATTGCACGAATCCAATTGAAAAAACGAAATACACAAATATCAGAGTATAAAACAATTTGCTCGTCGCTCTTTTCGATTTCGATTTCGTTTGGGCGTTATTAGATAAGAATTCACAGCGTATGCAAATCCATTTATTAAATCACCGAGGCCAATTCACAAATTGTAATACATTTTGTATACATTTAAATTAATTTGAAACAGTTATCGGGGCAATGAATTTTAATGTGCAAAAAAAAAACCGGCACCACATTTATTCATATACACAAATGAATGGAAGTGTCGTCAAGATAAAATCACAACACTTAAAGGTGTTGGACAATCAATGGTCTAAGTGGATTAAAAAGAGTTGAGACTTTTTTTCTCAAAAACATTACATATACATTTCAAAAATATCCATTATATCGGTGACAGAGAATTGATAAATTGGACGACTCGATGAACCAATTACCCCTTTTGAAATAAATCGCTGAAAAATTACCGTTTAAAGCTATTAATTCCGATAAAATTATTATTTTTGAATTGAATGAATGAGAAAAAGTAATATGTTTTAAGTGCTTTTTTAACACAAATTGAAATGAAATGGCTCTAAGAATTGTTGGCTGTGTGGGATGTTGTTCAAGATTTTACCTCAAGCCAAGTTTAAAATATAACTTGTATTTAAGTGAAATTATTGGAGTAAACATACATGTCCATTCCAAAGTCTTTATGAATAGAACTTTATATTCTTAGCCATCTGTTTGCCATATGGAGCCGCACAATTTGGACAAAATTCAAAATGACCACCGATTGATGTTAAATTATATATTAAATAGATAAAAATGGTTCCAAAAAAAAGTTATGCTCTTTTTTGAGTTGATATTTCAATTTGATTTGATTTCATTTCCCCTAATACAATATCATTATCAAAATTGAATGGTCTCAACCAGGTCATTTGGTTCAAAAATTACCATTCGCATTTTTTAGAGTCAATTTTTTTTTGATGAATTTATTATGTGCGCCTGATGAATATTTGAATGGAATTTACAGAAAATTCAAAATTATAAACCAGTAAAATCGTTATAATTATAGCTTAAGCATTTCACATATCAGCACATGTACTCGAAAATGGTATCAATAATTTGAAATCCATGCGCGGAGAGAAACCACTATTATTTTGCAATCTGTGAACGATGAAAAAAACAGTCCATAATTCAATGGATGTATTTCGAATGGATGTATTTTTCAGTGAAAAGCCCAACAACTAAATCATTCATGCGTGAAAAATACCTAATAAAATGATGTATATGTGTACGTGTAACAGAGAGAATGCGCCCAGCTCAACCACTTCAAACCCAATATATAATTACAGTGTTGGCTGTATCCATTTCGTTGCACATATTTAGATTTATTGAAAGAGGTAATGTCAAATGCCTTTATAAAGTCCCTAACGCAGTTTCTTACACTCTTTTACTCACACACAAACAAAACAAAATGTCAAGAAACAGCTGTTCGAGCGAACCATTCATAACCAACTTCATGCTACTTGTAGATTTGGAATGAAAATGATGTTTGAAATTTCTTTGATATTTCGAAAAATGAACTAATTATTTTGGATTTTTTTTATCTGTTTAGAATAAAATAAATGTTTAAACATTTTTTGTACTTACAATATTTTAAACATTCACTTATTATTTAATTTCCACAATTTCTATCAATTCACAAATTATAATTCTTAGCACTAGCATGAAGTTGGTTATATTTCAACCTTTATTCATTCGTATAAAAACATATTGTGTTCACGCACACATAAATGTTGGGGACTTTTGACAATTCCACTTTGGCTTATAGTTTGTAATCAGTTCATGAATAAATCAACATTATGAACACGCATCCCCAACACTTTTTTTTCTCTCTCTAGTGTCTTCATTTGATTTGCATATTGTTTGGCAGCTCATTTAATTGAGATTACGTCAAACGTCCATTGTTAAAACTGGGTAAAATGCAAACGCCATATATCATTAGAGTTGTCAACATTAAAAAATGGTTGATATTCTGGCAATAACTAGTCAAACCCACAAACTAAATCCAAACAAAAATACCAGCACAACATGTATTAATTTACATTTTGAATCGCAATTTAATTTGAATATAACGTGAATGAAATTCACCCATTTTTCAATCAGTACAATGTAAATTCATTGACTGCTGTAATTTTTGGCATGAAATTATGTGCACTTTTAGTTTTAAATCAAATCACGATAGAAAAATTATGCAAATTAATTGATATTTGGTGCAATTAAAATGATCAATGTGTTATTTCCACCACAATTTGGGTCCGCATTCATTTGTAACTGTGAATATGCAATAGGTTTCCACATGCAAATCAGCAGGATGTTATGCATTGATTGCTGTGTTGAATATGATTTGTTGATGCACCTAATGTGTTTGTTTTAACCGGTGTATCGACATATTTTGTGCCAACAAAAAG